TTTTGGGTATTAACCAGCGTTCAGCGCTTTTTGTACTTCCGTGATCTGAAAGACCCTTCTCCGTCTCCCTTTTCCCGGCTCCCTGGAATTTGTTTTTCCTCCCCACGAAACAGTTAGGAACGGACCTTGATACAATGCAGCCTCGTTTCGACGCTCATGCCTTGCCCGAAAGGAAAGCAAAAGACCCAGTTTGCAGGCTGCGGTTCCCGGACCTTACTTGTTACAGTGTGTTTGTGATGTAGGCAGGAAGGCCTCTGTGGCGAGTCTAGGCATTCTCTTGGAGGCAACACCGTTCGGTCTGCTTTTTCCTGGTGCAGCTACCCCCCCCCCGCACGTGAGACGCTTTTCATACCAGACGCGTTCCGTTTTTTGGTTTTTGAGACCCTTGTTGAGAGCCACATAGGCTAGCGTTCCTTGGGTTTCAAGACCTCCTCTGTCACTCTGTCATAACCGAGCTGACAATGTTACTGATGGATGGTTCTCAAGTGATACTTATGTTATTTCCTTACCATCGTATCTCCAGTAGCCATACACTTTGAAACTTAATTTGTCTGCTGACTTTTAAATAGGTGGGTTCCCTTTAGGGAGTTTTAGGTTGTGATGACGCGACCGAAGTTTTGACAAGCTTCTCGTATTGTCGGCCTGACCACGGTGTGAATTTTTGTGTGTATGTGTGGGCCGTTGTGGTGTTAGTGTTACTGCGTAGTTTCTGATAACTTACGTCAAAAGGGGAAGAGCTTCATGGTAGACATCCTTTTTTGCCTTTCTCTGTTCTCATTATTTCCCTACCCAGTGCCTTGAAATCATTACCGTTTGGATAAACACCAGATGAGAATCATCTTCAGTTAGGCAGGCAGCGTTTCCTGGCCCAGCCCCCCAGGGAACGAACTACCTGGCCTACACATGATTCTGGGCTGCCCTGTTTTTACAGTCATGCTTCATTAGTGGACATTAAAAACAACAACAAAACTGGACTGTGTAGGCTGATTTGCTTGTTTCTAAGTTTATTTTGGTATTTCCTGTATTTTTAGATCTAGAAGCATCATCTTACTGGTGTAGTTATATCACATTTCCCTGAAAAGACGCCCTCTGTTCTGTATTTTAATTGATTTGTAACACTGGACATCGATCAGTTAATGGCAATAGCAGCGTTGTATTTCTAACTTTCTTCTATTTCTGATCCCTTTTGCTAAGGGCATGGGTCTTTAATTTCTTTTGTTTGTCCTTAGTGCTGCCTTTGTTCCTGTAAAGGAGTAATTTACATCCTTAGTCCTCAAGCCTCTTAACTCAACTGTGCGTCCTTCATCCCTAAATAACTTCGCTCCTACTTAACTGAGGATGAGAGTCCAGTAGCCTGGGCTCTTGGCCTGCGAACCCAATCTTCCTGTTTCTTCTCAGATCCTTCTCTCCAGTAACAGAACAAAGGATTTCTGACTCCTCTGGAAGAAATAACCACCATCCCAATTTCAACCATCTGAATGTAATTGGCTGTTTTTCTTTCCAAGGCAGATTTTTTCTTTTTTTCATGCTGTGGGCTCAGCTCATAAAAATGAAAAGAATAGCAGGGAAAAGGGATTTATAAACAGCAAAACTCAAAATGCAGGGAGAAAAACTTTACTAAGTGCATTTGTTCTCCCAGCATAGGGAGCGAGGAGTTTAAATCTGTTCCCCCATGGAAGCATTTGATGTGGAAACATTTCACATATCTCCCTTCTTCTGTGCTTTAACCATAGCTGTTCTTTGCATGGACTTTTCTGGCTCGTAGAACATTATAGGCTGCTTAAATCAGTTAATCTGAAATAAAGAGATATATTGATCATCTATAATAGAAAAGGCTGTGGTGGACATATGAAAAGAATAAAGCACAGGAACCATGTGTCATTCATCTTTTATATTCTTACTACCTGCCACATAGAGGTTCTCAAATATATTTTATCTTGAACAGGGCATCTGCCCTTAAGATATGTATACTATTACAAAGAACTTCGGAGCACAGATACAAATAATGAAACTCATGGTACATTAACAAGGAAGGAGAAGATAATCAGTAATATCAAATTCTAATCAGATTAAGGACTCGAAAAGGCCACTGGTTGTTAATATTGGTGGTGTTTTTAAAAAAAGCATGGCTTCAGTACCATAGCAATATAAGGACTAACTGGGGAGACATGTAACATTTTGAAAACAAGATCACCTAGACAAAGTGTAGTATAATATCTCTAAACAAAGAGGATTTGACCAAACAGTGCATTTTGTTGCCAGAAGCTTCTTACTAAGGCAGCGAAATAATACGGGAATGAAGGAGGTAGAATGTCACTTCTCTCTCCAACTACCTTGTCAAAATACTCTATTCCAGGTTGGAGAATACTCATGATTCTTTTTAGATTGCCTCTGTTTGTGTTTGGAACCTGGAGACACATTCCTCTCACCTGCTGGGCCCAGATACCATATCAGTGACTTCGTATCTGATACAGTGTCATTGCCTTCTAGCAACTGCTTCTACCAGTCTAGTGTTAAGGTGATTGTAACACTGTATACTAAAGTATTAATTAGTAGTACAGTATGGTTTTAAATAGTACAGTAGGACATAGAGAAGAAGCCAGAGCTAGTTATATGCACCAGGTCTGTGTTAGCCGTTGGCATTTCAGATTTGAATGAAGCTTGCCTGACTTACTAATACCTGGTTATGTACAATAACATGAAATTTCAGAAGGAGCTCCAGTTTAAATTTTGGCATTCCTTAAAATTGCTTTTTCTATTTATTTAAAAATTTGAAGCCAGATGATTTAAAATAATAGTTTCTTGCATGGTATACTTACCATGTAAATGTAATGTTTATTGAATGATTGAAAATGGGCTTAAAATTCTGCTGCAGGAGGTGTCCTCCTTCAAGGGTAATGGTGTACTACAAGAATACATTTTGAACATTTGGAATAATTTAGATCTTGGAAAGATTTAATATATGGCTTTTTTTTCATGAGTGTCTCAACCGTAAACAATCTAGGTAGCTGGGAGAGAAGTAAAGATAGGTTACCTCAAGCTGTATTTCTTTCCAGTCTGTCTTTAAATAAATCTAGCTTGTTTATATTTCAAAATTAGTATCTTTCCCCAAACACGTTGTCCTATGTCCTATGCAGTGCCTCAGTGCCATTGCATATGCTATCCCTTCTCCATGAAATGTTCTTCTCCTACCACATCACTTTAAAGAAACTTTATTAAGGAAAATTCAAGTATACAAAAAGAGTGAAGTAGTCTAACAGCCTCCCATTTACTCATCACCCAGCTTCAGCCATTATTAGCATTTTGCCAATTCCGGTTAATTTTTTAATGGTTAGCTCAAATGTTTTCCTGCTTCCCAGCCAGAGGGATCTGGTTTCCTCACTGTGTACCTGGAAGAGTTTCTACATACATCTTTATATGTACTTTTATTTTTTAAGATTTTTATTAAAATATAGCTAACATACAATATTATATTAGTTTCAGGCACACACCATAGTTATTCAGCATTTATGTACCTCAAGAAGTGATCACCATAAGTCCAGCAACCATCTGACACCATCCCACGCTATCACAATACTGTTGACTATATTCCCTATGCTGTACATGACATCAAGTGTACAGCATAGTGGTTAGACATTTACATAATTTAAGAAGTGATCCCCCTAACTAGTCTAGTACCCAGCTGGCACTATACATAGTTATTACCATATTATTGATTATATTCCCTATGCTTTACATCCCATTGACTATTTTATAACTTCCAGTTTGTATTTCTGAATCCCTTCACCTTTTCACCCTGCCCCCAAACCCCGTTTTAAAATAGCACTTATTATATATTATTATAATTATCTTTTTTTCTCTCACACAAGATATCCTTCAGGGAGGAAGGTGATATGTCTTACTCAATAAAAGGTGTATAACAACTAATTTACTAATTAACATTTGAAGTATTCATTAGACATTTGTTAAATGGATTGTCTCCTTCAAAAAAATGGTAGGAATAACTAATTTGTAACTGCACATAAGGGCAAACCACAAAAACTTACAATATACATTTATTGTAATTTAAATTTTATAATTGAATTTTAAAGGTAGTCCGTTTCCATCTTTATCTGGTGACAGTTCTTTGCTGTAAACTGGTTCCCTGTGGATCCCCCCTTTCTCTGCCTCTGAGACCCAGGATGTCCTGAAACAAACACATTGTTTCAATTATAGTCTCAGCAGATACTGGGTTGTGGCAAAATATGCTGTGGGAAAACTAAAGAATAATAATTAAAAACCAAAAACTAGTCCACAAAAGAATTTTCTGAGATGGGTGTGGCAATGAAATGAGAAAACAAAGAGGAATTCCTTTCCCAAGGCGGAGTGCTCCCATGGATCTGATTCTGTTTCTTTTGTAACCAGTAAAGTTGTTGCACCTGGCTTTTGTTGTTGTTTGTTTACTTATATAAGGTGTGCAAAAGGCTTTCAAAAATAACACAAACCACACACTGTTTGACCCACTAAATGTGCTGCACCATTCCCACATTGAGCGGTGTGTCTGTTGCCCTTGCTATTTATTAACTTACATAGTTGCTGCATTCTGTACCCCTCCATATTACTAGGTGTAGAAGTTAATTATTTTTATTACATTTTTGTTAAATTTCTTTGTTAAGTACAATAAAAGGAAAAATGAATTGGGAATAAATATTCTGGAATTGTACATAGTTGGTATTTTCACAGAAATTTAATATTGCAAGACTAAAGTCAGTTTTATGTATTTTTTGAAAAATGCTGCATGGGACTTACTAGAAATACCAACCTTAATCACAAGTGAATAGCAGGGCCTGGATTTGAGCACAGGATAGGTGCGCAGTCGTGAATCTTAAGATCACAAGGATGGGTTTCCAGATTAGTGCTTTAAAATATAAGTTGGGGTTCTAATGAAATATGATGATCTAATGGCATATAAGTAACTCAATGAAGATTTGAGAAATTGTGTGAGTATTAATGAAGTAATACTGAAATTTATTTTGCCATTACTTGGTCCTTTTGATTAGACCTATGTTTTATTTTGTTTAGTATTCAGGAGTATGACGCACAGTGAAATGAAATTAGAAGTTTCACTAACACTAGAAAAAGATAATAGTGGATGATTCTGACTTATCCATGGATGAGCAGAAAAGAGATTTTTATAAATCTTACATGTGATAAAAAATATATAAGAAGGGAAAATTAAACTCCTAAATATTTTGGGTGTGTCATTTCCTTTAATAATTGAGTTTGCATTTTTTTTTGACATGAGTTTTTTCTGTGCAGAGCTTTTTAACTATGACTGTATTGTGTTTAGCAAAATTTGCTGAATCAATTTCAAGCTTATTTCCTTAAACAGATATATAGTGTTTCAGTAGATGTATCTGATTGTTCAACAGTTCGCCTAATTGTATTAACTTATGCATTGCATACACTGGTCACACCCGTTGCAATGAAAATGCACAATTAAAAAACCAGCATTCTACTGGGGAGCCACCTAGCAATATGATTTCTCTTGTAAACAAGGCCTTTCAGGGTTGGAAGGATGAAGTACCTTGCCTTTGAGCAGTGCAAGGAAAAAGGCATGTTACTGAACTTTATTTGGAGAGTGAAGTATAAATATTTTATAGCCTTAGATAATGGTTTCTTTTGGAAAGACCTCAAAGTAGGAGTTACTTAGAAATGGTTATAAGTAGTTAGGTAGTGCTAAGAAGCAGGATGTCTTAAAAAGAACCAGATTTGTACCCTAGCTTTGTCATTTTTCAGCTCAGTGAACTTACACAAGTTATTTTTCTTTTCTGAACCTAAGTTTCCCCATCTGCAAATGGGCTTTAGTAATATTTACTTCATTTGAGTACATAAGTGAAGTAATATATGTAAATACACTTGGTATATAGCGTATAGCCTCAGAAACATTAGTTGATTATGCATTTGACATTGTGACATTGTTTAGATCACCCAACCTTATCTTATTTAAAGATAAAACTTGGGCTGCTCGTCTGTCTTAGAGAATGTGTAGTGCCTCAACTGAGAAACACGTCTAGGACAGTTTCAGCCCTGACAAACTGTGTTATCCTTCAGGGTGGACAGGAAGGAGCTACGTAATAGGTTTGTTTAAAATACTGATGATAAGGCCCAAATATCCCTTGAAAGTATCACACTTCCTCAGATTTTCAAAAAGGGGAGGAGGACAGATTCTGTGACAGGAAGCCTAACTCTAGTCCTTGGTGAGATGACTGTTTTGAGCACATAAAGGAACTGGTTGGGCTACGGCAGGGACTCACTCACTAGAGGCAGAAACGTTTCCTTTTGAAAGGGAGTTACAACCCCGGTCAACTAGGAAAATTCACCAAATACTATGGGAATTCAGCAAGATGTTTGACAAAGTCTCAAGATGTTTCTCTGGATCAGATAAAGAATTTTATTTGAAGATAGTTGATTTAGTTAGGACAGCCTCTGCCAGCTTTGTCTTTGGCCCTGTTCTCTTGCTAGTAGTGACTTAGGGATGGAGATACTGATTGCATGCTGATTACTGATTATATTTTCAAATGCAGGAAGCTGAGAGAGCCAGGAAATCTGTAGGGTGTCAGAATATCTAGATTGAGAAAATCCTGACAGGCAAGAATGTAGTAAGATGAAATTTGATTGCAAATACATGAGGGCTGATGCTTGGGCCTCAGAATGCATCTGTACAGGTACACGTGGTAGCTTAGCAGGATCGAGTGAGAAAAAGAATTAGGGGCTTTAGGGAGTCACTCCCATGTGACATTAAAAATCTTTATGAAGCCAGTGTGATTTCAGGCTGCATTAATTGAAGTTTGATAACTAGGATGTGGGAACTGAGACCCTGATGTGTTCTCTCCAGGCCGACCTTAGCTCATTTTAGTAGTTTGTCCAACAAACTGGAGCAAAGAGGCAGCTGGACAGTATGCTAGTGGGAAAATGGCACCTGAGTGTGTGTTCTAGAAAAGACTGTATGTGGAGGCACATGTCAATAGCCCTTAGGTGTTAGAGGGGGTATTTCTCTGAGGGGGAGCAGATTATCTCGAAAGGTAGAGTAATACTAGTAGGTGGAAGTCAAGTGACACAATCAAACCTGGGAAAGCCTTTACCAGCGGTTCTCAACCTTCCTAATGCCGTGACCCCTTAATACAGTTCCTCATGTTGTGGTGACCCCCAACCATAAAATTATTTTCATTGCTACTCTATAACTAATTTTGCTACTGTTACGAATCGTAATGGAAATATCTTTTTGTTTTCCGATGGTCTTAGGCGACCCCTGTGAAATGGTCGTTCGGCCCCCAAAGGGGTCACCACCCACAGGTTGAGAACCGCTGCTTTAGAGCATTTAGTTTTTAAAGCATTTAGTCAAGAGGAAATAATCCTCCGCCTGGATAGGAGATGCTTCCAGGAGATGCTGGGGAGGTCTTCCGGGCTTATCTGATGGGTCATTATATGTTTATCTGATGGCTATTGTATTTATCTGATGGATAAGTATATTGGATGAGCTGGTTTCTTCTAACCCAGAAATTCTGAAATTGGTATATAAATAAATACGTGATTGTGAACATGAACAATTTGTAATGAGCCCCTATTTTTAATTGTTGCCCTGTTCTGTTGTATTGAATCAAACACATCGATCAGTCATCTTTTCTCTGAAACAATTAAGTGTATACTTTAACTTTATGAGATATTTGTTTAAAAAGTATTCTTAGAGTGGTATTGCATAACTATTTTATCTCACAGATAGTCTCCCATTTTATGTCTGTCTTCAAGTAAAACAATTTTAAATATGCAAAGACATTTAAAGATTGTGCTGAAGACTGCCTCTTGATTAATAATATAATTAATAAGATACTATCTTTCACAGGTGGTGAACCTATTGATGGCAATTTTGCTTACTGTGGAGGTAACTCATCCAAACTCAATGCCAGCTGTCAACATTCAGTATGAAGTCATTGGCAATTACTACTCATCTGAGAGAATGGCTGGTATGCTTTTTGTTGAAAATACCTCCTGCTAATTACACTCATGCTTGTTATTTAGAAGAGGATTAATTAAATTATGTATTAAGTTATTCTACTTGCTGAGGTAGAAAAATGTTTTTATGGATTTTTTAAAGATACTCAGGGTTATAATGGAACGTTTCTAGCCATGGACTACTAGAAGACTTTTGAGAAATTGGTATTGTATACTTTGACACCTGTCGGATATTGTGGAGCTAAGAGGGAAAGAAGGAATTACAAAAGACTGTAAGCCTTTGAGGGTGTACTAGAGGGTGGGAGATTTGCTCATGGGACAAATAGACGTACAGTAAAATATAAAATATGAATTTTTTGAATATTTGGTGATATCTTTTGCTCAGGGTCACAATTCTAAATGTATTTCTATGGTCTGGATGAAGAAAGACTTAACATTAGAGTTAAAAATAGAGTAACCCTAGGACATTTATGGAAATTACCTTTCTAAACCTATTTGTTCTGATTGCAGTATTTTCATTATCTTTCTCTAAAATACAGGTGCAGAAAAATTCTAGTTAAAATATTATTATAAATTATTTTAGAAGTTTAATATTTGAACAGGAAATTATGCCTCAGACTTTTCAGTGTGAATAATTTCTATATGTTGATTTTTAAAAAATTGCGCTTCAGAAAAATGTTCCCAGTTCACATGTATATATTTATAATATTAAAGGATCTTAATTATCATTTTTAGATTTATTAGCTTTTATTATAAAGTTTTATGCTTCATTTCATTTATGGCCTGTTCTGACTCATTTATGAAGTTGTTTTTAAAAAACATTTGGTTGTCAATAAAAATGATTCATTGTCCACAGGGCTAACTTCTGTTTCTAGGAGACAAGTAGAGTTTTGTGATCATTGGTCATCCATTATATGAAAACACAATTGTTCACACTGTGTTTAAAGAGCCTCCTGACTGTCTTTTCAAATATAGTACAGTCCTTTAATTTTGTTGTCAAATGTGATAGAAGAAATACCAAGAACATATTTGAAACATCCCTCCTGGCATTCGTTTTTTTTCTGACTAGCCTGTTTTTATTTAAAAACCAAAATAGAACAGCAAATACAACTTTAGCTTCTAATGGCTGTTTTGGTATTTATAAAATTTTACTTTGGACTGTAAAATGTTACTGAACTTGCTAATGTCAGCATTTTCAACTGTCATGTATATTTCTCTTAAAATTGAGATATAGAGATACATTTAGGATTATTGAGAATCTTGTAGGTCTGTACAGCTTGGCTTCGAGCCTTGGCTAGAGCTGCAGGGATAAAGTCACAAGTTTATTGCATGTTGCATAAGTGTTGTGACTGCTGTTGAGAGAATCAGATGGATTCATTATTAATATTTGTTGATTATAATTTTACAAAGCCCTTGTTGTTGGGAGAATATAAAAATACATAGTTCTTGGTCATTGTGGTAGTTTGTGTTTTCTCAGGAAGTTGAAATTTGACTTTACCACATACCTTGTATTATAATGGCAAGTTAGTTTTCTGATATTGGCTGATGGTCGATTTTAAATAATAAAGTTTGTGACTAGTTATTTTTAATCAACTAGACAGGATACGACAATCAGTATACTATATGAGATACTTCTGCAACCTATGCAAGCTGTTCTTCAAATATGAATTTACTCATACTCACCTTGGGAATGGGTAAACACTTGGGGGCCCCCTAAAGGAGGTTCCTAAATGTGTTGGTGAATGGAAACCTGAGGTTCATATCTGGGTATCTAGCCTTCATATTTTGTTTGCTTTATTGGCACACATACTGGAATACCTCTTGTTCCAGGCATTGTATGTATTTCCCACCTGCCACTCGATTTCTCCCCATTTTGCTATTTGTTGCTTCAGTGAAAGATGTTGAACTTTGTTATTTCAGTACTTTAAGAAATCCGTAGAAGCATGTAGTCTTCCATAACAGATTCTTAAAAGCTGATTGTTTGAATTACGAAGTTTTCTTCCAAGTTTGATAGTACCTATCCCATCCTGTTTGAATTCATATTTTTACTGACTTTTTCCCTCTAAGTGCCATTTTACACGTTGTAGGAGGGAAGTCCTTTAAGTCCTTCACATTTAGCTGTCCTGTATCCTCTAGCGAAATTTAAAGAGGACTGTTCTTAGGGCTAAATATCGATGATGCTTGTATTGCCAAGTGACAAGATGATACATAACATTTATTCAGTGTTGTGAATATTCAGCAGTTGTTCTAATTGTTCATCATTAGTAGTACCCTTCAGGTTCTTAATCCTGCCCCAGAGTCTCAGATTCAATTTTAGATTTGTGCTAAGAAGCTCAACAAGTGTGGTTTAGTATTGTTTGAGATTACTTGGGTTTTTTGTAAGGATATTAGTGAACATGGATTAATGTAGAGAAAAGGAACAACCTCTGAGAATGAGTTGAAGAACAAACAAGAAAATGGACCTGCATGGCGGAGAGGCCAAGGTGAAGGGGTGCAGAGTGCTGGGTTTGGGTGTTGGGATGCGGGGGAAGGGATTAATGGAGAACCTTGAATTTCAGACTATGCATTTTATCTAAGGCAAGAGGCTGCATCTGTAGCATTCTGTGTTTAATACATGTGTCTTTTAAGCAAATAACCACCAGCCTTTTCTTCCAGATGAACCCTGCTCATCTCACAAGACCCAACTTATGTTACTTACGTTTTATTTTTTTTTTCTGATTCTCCAGGCAAAGCTAATTGTTTCTGCTTCTGTTCTAGCACTTGCCACATTGGATTATAATTATCTATTTGCACATCTTCAGACTCTTAGACTCTGGGCAGAGATCTAATAAGTGTGAATTGTAGCAGTTTAACAAACAAGAAGAACAATGGTGTGAATTTCTTAAGCTTTATTACTTAACGCAGAGGCAGATTTTTTCTTTTTACCCTCTTGGCTTTAGACTTTTTCATAGTCAATCATGAAACTACTTAGATGTTTTTAAGTTATTGTAGCTTTAAAATATTACTTTGTCATGAAGAGTTTTGTTCTTTTTGCATAAGTAGCTTAACTAGATTTTTGTGTTTTTGTTTTCTTAGATAATGCCTGTGTTCTTTTTGCTGTCTCTGTTCTTATGTTTATAATCAGTTCAATGCTGGTATATGGAGCAATTTCTGTAAGTATCCTGTTTTCAACTTTTGGAGTTTGATCTTTACTGAGTGGTACTTAGTAATTTCCTACATGTGATGTGACATCGTGTTTGTTATTTTTTCCTTTCAGTATCAAGTGGGCTGGCTTATTCCGTTCTTCTGTTACCGGCTTTTTGACTTCGTTCTCAGCTGCCTGGTTGCTATCAGTTCTCTCACTTATTTACCAAGAATCAAAGAATACCTGGATCAATTAGTAAGTGTATATACTAAGTAAACTTTTTTCCATTTTAAGTAAAATATTTAAATTCTGAGTCAGCTTTAGGTACTATTTTAACCTACCCTATTTCTTTTTTAAAGTGTCCTAAAATAATATCATTACTCTTAACTACCATGTTGAAACCAGTAAGGTGAAAATAGAATATCTTCTTATCATACCATTTAGATATTGAAAGTCCCAAAAGATGGATGTCACAGAATTTAAGGAGTAGTTTAACTTTTGTTTTGAGTATACTAAAAGTATAATAATTTGACTGAATTTGGCACTCATTAAAGTATTAGCTTTTTGTTTTTGCAGGCATCAGTACAGTATATTTGTGTGTCTATTGTATTCTTCACTTTGTTCTAGGCAAACTGTTGGTGAATGGTATAGATATAAAGAAACGTCTCTCTCAAAGGAGTAAACCATGTATTTGGGGAGTCAAGACATGAAGATGTTATCTGTGATAATGAACTAGAAATGTCACAGGACATTAGTGTATGAGGAGCTTAGATTAAATGCTGTAAGATGGAGGGGCAGGGAACCCTGGGCTGAAGTAAGGTCTGGATGGGGGGGTGGGGTCCAGATGCATGAAAGTTCATTTCAAAAATATTACCTTTTAGGAATTTTCTCCCAACTTTTAGATTTTCTGCCTAATCCATTTTGCATACCACCAAATTGATCATTCAGAAAACATCTGGTGATTGCTTCTTATGTGCAAGGCACTCTGCTTAGATTCTACTGATATATCAGCAGAACTTCTTTCTAGTGAAGGAATCAGAAAACGGACAGTTATTGACTTAAGATTGTGATAAAAGCTGTGAGGGAAGTGTAGACTGCTATGTGAGTGGCTATCACACAGGGTATTAGTCCTGGGCTGGGAAGTGAGATTTCATTCCAAGTAGGAATTAAGATGGGCAAGTACAGAATGAAATGTTTCAGATGAAGAAACACCTTGAGGCAGGAAGGAACATGGTATAGTCGGGGGCCTAAACATGACCATGGTGGCTGGCACACAGGAAGGGAGGGGCAGCAGCAGCATGTGATGAGGCCGGAGAGAAGTAACTGTTGGCCTGGTCAGCAGCTTCTGAGCATGGTTCTCTCTGCGCAGGTCACCTCTGGCTGGAAAATTGGAAGCGTTCTGAATAAAGTTTACAGCATCCCCCCATGAGCTGGTCCCATTAGTCCCGTTATGTGTGCTTGTCCTTGTATCTATAGACAGAGGCCTAAAGAACAATTCTGTCCCAGGGGAGCACTTAGCTAGGGTTTGGGGTTAGTGTGTGGATACGTTTTATTCCTTTTTTTTTTTTTTTTTTCCTTTGGTCTTTTGGGATTTCTTTTGTGCCGCTTTTTTTATAAAAATGTGATTAATTCTGTTGGCATTTGTATTGACATTTCTGTTAAATACAGATAGAAGTTGAAAATTAAATGAGCTTTATAGAAACACATGAAAGTGAATTTTTTACTACCCCTTTTATAGACCTCAGTGGCTTCTCCCCTGTTTCATTCACTTGGTCTCTCAGCCTGGAGGATACTTTCTGTGCTGGCCAGCTTGTAAATCCGAAATTAATCTTTTGTGATACCCTTCTCCCTGAGCCTCGCTCATTGCCTTGTACACAGTAAATGCTAAATCAATATTTGAATAAATATAGCTGATCCTTCTCAGTAGAACATAGTATGTCTGCAGTAAATCATATAGTCTTGCCTGGATTCGTAACCAGGGGCATGGATGCCACCTTTTTGCCCCTTCTGATGAGCATTGAGACTGACGATTGGGTTTTAGAAAAAAATTATTTTTTCCATGTAGAACTAAATGTCTCATGGAACTTAGATAAATATCAGCACTTTCTGACTTAGTGACCCAGGGAAAATTTGGCGTCCTGTACAGGAGATAGTGTTTTCTAAAGGCCAGAAAAATGTAAAACAGTGAAAAGTAAAGAGAAAATGAGCTCAATTTGGACTCCTGGGAGTATTCTGGGTATTCAAACAAATGTATTTTGAGTGATAAATAGCATGCATTAATGTTGATGAGGCTTAAAATACTTTGAGTTAAATTCTGTTTATAAGTTTTTATTAGAAAATCATTTTGACTTTGGTGCCTTTTGTTGATATTCTTAACATGCTCTCTAGGTTATCACAAAGTACAAGAGCTGTGGCTGAATTCTAAGTGTGTGTATGTGTTTAATTAACCTTGATATATTTTAGAGCAATTTTAGGTTCACAGCAAAATTGAATGGAAAATACAGAGTTCCCATATTACCCCTTGTATCCCCCCAAAATCCCTCTCCCCCACCACCATCCACATGTCAGACCACAGTGGTACATTTGCTACAGTTGTGAACCTACATTGACAACGTCTGTATCATCCAGTCTGTAGCTTACATGAGGGCTCACTCGGCGTAGCACATTCTGTAGATGTGGACAAGTGTATGACGACATGTATCCATCATTGTTATCGTGTGGAATACTTTCACTGCCCTAAAAAGCCCCTCTGCTCTGCCTCTTCATCCCTTTTGTTACAGCCTGATTTTCCTTATAAAGATGACCTCCTGGCTTTGGACTCCAGCTGCCTCCTGTTTATCGTTCTTCTGTTCTTTGTCTTATTCATCATTTTTAAGGTGAGCTGCTGATTAAATATTTGGGGGCCAGTTAGACTGTGACACTGCCCATCTAAACCTTGTTACCTGTCTCCCTAGAGTTTATAGTAAGTGACAGTGTTGATTGTGGCACAGTAGCAGAGTGCTGCTAGGGAATACCCTCCCTCTTGTTTCCTGAAAGTGGTTGGAAATGCCGGGATCCTTCCTAAATGTAAGGATTGTCATGTGTTTAGAGTGGTTCATGATTTGGATTGAGAATCTGTTAAAATTCCTAAGGTTCAGAAAAAGAATTTCTTCTGCAGCACAATGGTTATCAGGCCTGAATTGAAACCTCAACTCCGGTTTCTCTGTAAAATGATTATAAAACATGTGACGTTTAAATGAGAACAAGTAGGGAAAGACCTGGCCTGCGCTAGGTCCAAGTGGACGTCAGTTCCTTTCTCCTTAGAGAAGATGTGGGGAAAAGCATTACAAGTCATCGCAATTTTAGAACAGGTATCTATAGATGATGGATCACAAAGTTGTATACTTGAAACCTATGTAATTTTACTAACCATTGTCACCCCAGTAAATTAATTAAAATTAGAACAGGTAGTCTGTTGAGTTAAAGCATATATAAATTTTGTTTGTGCTCTTTTAGGCTTACCTAATCAACTGTGTTTGGAACTGCTATAAATATATTAACAACAGAAATACGCCAGAGATTGCTGTGTATCCTGCCTTCGAAGCACCTCCACAGGTGAATGACCTTCTAATATGTTAAAACTTCACTAGCCATTCCTGATTATTCCCAAGAACCTGGATCTTGACTTTTTTTTTAGTGCCATGGCTGTGGTTTAGGGCCTGGCTGGCTTAATCCACAAGAGTCAGCGTTTCCCTGTTGGAATCCTGGGTACACTGCTCATCTAATGCAGTCTGGCTGTCAGGCTTGATTTTTAAGTGGTCCCTTCAAGAGTGGTGCATTTTGGGAAGAGATCAGACAGGAAACAGCAGTGGGACCCATGCCAGGCTCATGGCTTCTGGAACTTGTAAGGATGGGGGTACCATGAGTTGAAGCTTGTGTTGCTTTCAGAAAACATCCATATGATCCAAGGGGAAAGCGGATTTTCCGCGGGGAGGTGAATGCCTGGGTTCCATGAATCTCTGGGAGGCTGACCTCTCAGGACCCTTAGTTGCTGCTGTACTGTTTTCCCAGGTTTCCCCCATGTGGAATCTTTGTGGTCCATATAGGGCCAGCCTGTCACACGTAGTCACTTAAGTTAGAATGCCACTCTCCTACATAGATGTGCCCTTTACCCCAGAAGAAATGATACTGATTCTTTGACTATCGATTATGATGAAATTCAGGGTGCAGCATTTGTTGGAAGCTTCCTAAGCGTGGTTCAGTGGGCCCTTAACCTAGATCTGCAACCCCTGAGATGTAGTTGGCACTGGTACTTTTATCAGTCACACTGAAAGGGCCGGGGGAAGCAGTGGCATATGCTTCCTGCCAAGGTGTCCTGGTCGCCCCTCACGGTCAGCTCTGAAGCGAAACTGTGCCCTCGCTCCGTCTCTAGCAGTCTTGGATCAGACAGCTCACCTGCATGTAAAGTTCCAGGTTACTCGTCATCTCTCCTCTTAGGAACTACTTAGCTAAGTTTCTTCAGCTCTTCTCTGTGGGTTTGTATATTCCTGTATATAACGTACAGTCTGAAGGCTGAATTATACCAGATGGGATTTTAAAGGAGAATTAAGTCTGATAGAATTTTTTTTTCTCTGCAGTATGTTTTGCCAACCTATGAAATGGCAGTGAAGATGCCTGAGAAAGAACCGCCGCCTCCTTACATACCTGCCTGAAGAAAGTCTGCCTTTGTCAATAAATCCTATACCAGCTTTTTGTCTTGTTTATTTTACACAATGCTGCAATACAGGGCTCTTCAAACTTGTTTGATATAAACTCCATTTTCCTTTGTTTAAGCATTTATTTTCAAACACTAACAAGCTTTGTGGACATCTATTAAAAGTCAGGTTTTTTTTGTTGTTGTTAAGTCTATTATATTTTAGTAGTTTTTGAGGACAATCTAGGTTAAGCAAGAGCAAAGTGCCATTGTTTGCCTTTAATTGGGTTGGGGGGTGGGATCAGGGTATTCTCTACACTTTTTTTTTTTTTAACTTTGCACTTTCTTTATATAATAGTTTGCATTTCGGTTATTTGCTTCCCTGAGGACTTTGAGGAAGGATGAATTAAATATTCAGGGTGAGTGAGTTGGGTATAAGACCTGAAGTGTTCAGCTGTGAAAACAGGAAAAATATATAACATTTTAATTTGACTGTGGAAGATGACTGTTGCATGTTTCTAATTTGTATGTGTTTTCATCTTTGTGATAAGAGCTTTAATAAATCTCTTAAAATTTACTGTTGTCATTTTTAAAAAATCTATTGCCCTTTTTTGTTTTTTTTAAAGTTGCAGAAAAGGAGTTTATTAGAAGTAAAAATACATTTCAAAGAAGCAGAAGCAAGCCCAAGCCGTAGAGAGTGGCTCAAGGGCCATTATTAGAAAAGAGTATACCCCAAAGAGTTCGGAGCTGGCCGAGCAAAGGAAGCTCAAAAGGCCTATTGCCCTTTTTTTTTTTTTGTAGAAGAAACCTGACGTTTTCCATTGTGATAAACTCAGACTGCCAGGGTTTTTGATACTTTGAGAATACAATCCTAGATTTTTCATTAGAAAGCATTTCTTCAATGCAGTAACTCTGAAGTATTGTTTAAAATTTCTGTGTACTACTTGAATCACAGGCCAGAAATTAATATTGATGGTTTGATAGAACAATTATATGGCTAGTGTAGCAAGCTGTATTTTTATGTCAAGATCATTTAGTTAGGTAATGAGCCCATTAAGAACAATTCATATTAAAATATATCAGTTGGCCTCCAGAGGGGAAGCTAAGAGAAAAAACGCAAACTGCAGCTTATTGACCCCACAACTCAAAATTTCTCCTGAAAACATCCTACTTTGCAACATGCAAAGAATGCAGCAGCGGTAGCATTATGCACATCTACCATATATGAGGTTGCACAGTTAAGTTCATGAACTCATCCTAGAAAAAGTGCTACATACCTCATAGCTGAATATCAATACGGTCACCTTCGAAGTAATCCCCTTGGGAAAGCTATGCATAGATGCCAGTGCCTAGCCCACCCTTCAAAGCAATTTTGGAACTCTTTCTGAATGACCATCAGAGCTGTCGTATTACCCTTGATATCTTGAATGTCATCAAAATGTCTTCCTTTCAATATTTCCTTTATCTTCAGGTAAAGAAAGAAGTCACTGGGGGCCAGATCATTTGAGTAGGGAGGGTGTTCCAATACAGTTATTAGTTTATTGGCTAAAAACTCCTTCACAGACAGTGCCTCGTATCGTCATGATGCAAGAGCCATGAATTGTTGGCAAAAAGTTCAGGTTGTCTTAACATTTTCAGGGAGCCTTTTCAGCACTTCCAAATAGTAAACTTGGTTAACTTTCCAGTTGATACAAATTCATAATTAATAACCCCTCTGATATTAAAAAAGGTTATCAACGTTGTTGCAAGAAATTCTCGAACTTGTCAGATCTTGTATGACATATTTTAAAATATTACAGTTTTTAGTTATTTCTGTAAAAGGTCATCCTTTCCTTTGATCATTTGGCAAATGGGCTTTCAGTGAATTAGCTTTGAACAATGATTTGGTGAACTGGCCTGCTTCCTTTTCTCTCCCTCCAGCATGTAGGACATACATACCTCCATTACAGCTCATGATATATTGTATCCGTGTCCCTGTTAGTGAAGAACTTGGACATGAGGCCTCTGTTTTTACACCTTAGCAGTGGTTTGCACAAAGCTGCCAGGGAGAGGGAGAGTAGTAAATGTTTACTGAACGAAACAATTTGCACACATTTTACAGTGCCAATAGATTATTTTCAATATGAATTGGGTGTCTAAAGAGGGTATAACATACCTACATTGAAAGGTTCTTGCAATATGAAACTAAGAGGCTTGCCTTTGATGAATTGTACCTTTTCTTCCCTCTGGTGATACACTAATTGCTTGTTTTCCAGCCTGTGACTAACTTGTTTGCCGTCATCGTGGAACTTGGTTTGTTCTAAATCGAACTGTGCCAATGTTCCTTGTAGGCAAATGATAGGTGTGTCACTTTCAGGACTCGAGTTGGCTGAAAGAAAAAGTTGTGCCTTTGCCTGTCTGAGGGTGCTTTGTTTTACTATGAAAGTCATGACTTCCAAGTATGAGAAAATAATTTAGAAGCAAAAATGAATGTTGCCAAACAACGTGGCACTCAGGCACTTGGGAGGCAGCATGGAGCTGCTGGAGTGAGCACAAGATCTGGAGTCAGAAGATTGAAATTCACTTCCTGACTTCACCGAGCTATTACTCCCTCATCCTGGGAAATTGGACGGATCTGAGCTTCAGGTTTTACATCTGTAAAATCTGTAAAATCAAGAAGATGCAACCCACTTTCTCAGAGTTGTTCTTAGGATCAAGTGAGGTAACACATGGAAGGGTTGGCAACTATGAAGCACTGTGCAAATATTATCATGAGGGGGTGTGAGCAAGGAATGGCTAGAGGAAGGGCTGAAGAGGGAGAGAAGCAGTTGACCCAGAAACCAGAGAAAGTGACTGTTTCTGGGTTGTTAGGAAGGCGCTCTGTGTCCTCATTCCGTTAGGCAGCTTAAAATCTGGACAAGTCATCAGGAAAGCTAATTTATATTCTTGGCCTTCCTACCTATTGAACGACATTAGTAAATAGCTCATTGAAAATGAGTGGCTGACCACATTCTGTCTTGCTCTGACCTTCTGAGACTTAAAATTTTTCGTCAAACAGTTAATTATCTTTTGAAGAGAAACATAATTTAAAAATCTACATATGTAGCCGTTTAGTTGCCATTTCTGGTGCTCTTCATTCTTCTGTAGATCCCCATTACCCATCTGTTCTCCGTTTTTCTTCTGCCAGAGGACACCTTAATGGTTTTTTCAGTGTGGTTCTGCTGCTGATGAATTCTTTTGGCTTTTGTATGTCTGAAAATGCCTTTACTTTTGTTTTCAAAAGATACTTTCCCTGGGTATAGAAGTCTATGTTGTCAGGGTTTTTTCACTCAGTACCACTATCTTCTTGCACACGTTTCTACTGAGAAATTTGCTGTTACGGTTAACTCTGTCTTGGAACATTTTTTTTTCTTCTGGTGTTTAAGAGTTGTTCTCTATCACTGGTTTTGAGCAATTTGTTTCTGATGTTCTTTGCACATTTTAAAAAATGTACAATATAAGTGGAATATGCAGTGTAAATTAAAATGTAGGGTTTCTGCTCCACTCCCCCATGTTTCCTGTGCTTGGGGTTCATTGACCTTCTTGGGGCTATATAGGTTTCCTCAAGTTTGGAAATTTTTTCAGCCATTATTTCTTGTCTTTCCCTCTCTCCTTTGGGAATCATGTCTGGCTGGAAGGAAGATAAGGATAAGTTTCCTACAATGAGGTGATTTGGCATAGGCCTTGAGAATTGGATAGGATTTGAACTGGTAGAAGACTTGGTAACTTATTTAATAGAAGGGTCAAGGAGGAGAGAGGACACCAAAATTTCGTGCTGTGTGGTGGGGGCCAGGGGGTGGGGGACACTGGCAGAGGAGGAATTAAAGAGGAAGATGTTGAGTTCATTCTTGGATCTGGTTGAGCTACAGGTGCTTTTTGTGACCTTTGAATAGAGACTACAGTAGGCAGAGTTATTAATGTAGGTCTGTTGCCCAAGAGCAGGATTGGGACGGGAGATACAGATTTGGGAATTACCAGTGGAGACTTGGTCGCTGAAACCATACTAGATGAACTTCCTGACAGATGGTACACAAAGGACCAAAGAAGGCCCAGTTAGTCAGACATTCCACTTACCGTGATTTATTCTAGGGAAAGAATAATTCACAACGATTCACAAAAGGAGATTCATTAAAGAACTGTTTATGATTTTAAAAGCTAGAAACTAAATGTCCTACAGTGGAGAATTGGTTAAATAAATACAAGATACAATGGAATGCAGTATAGACATTAAAAATGATGTATTAGAAGAATGTAGCCAATAAAAATGTTCACTGAACATTAAGTATAGAAAGCAAGTTACAAGACTGCAATATACAGGGTGATCTCATTTTCAATAAAAATATATGACTATATAACCAGAGAAAAAGAGACGCCACGTAGTTTATCTGAGTGGTAGTGCCATGGACGATCTTTATTATTTTTGCTTATCAACATTTTACAAATTCTCTATAGTACATTATATTACTTGCTTAGTAAAGCCAAAAAATCTACTATAATTCTTTTAAAAGCTGACCTAGAAAAAAAGCCTGTGGAGTGTGAAAATCAGAAAAGGAAATGGCAAAGGAAATAGACACTTCGTGTAGAAGCAGGATTATACACCAGCCAAGAAGAGGGGGATACATGGGCAGCAGCCAAAAGGGGAGATAACTTTTGGAAGAGGCCTTTGGTTTGGCGATTGAGTGATTAGTGACTGCTCCTGAGACGTGGAGGAAAGAAGAAGGGGAGAGGGGGTCATTCCCTGGCCCACGATGTCTCATGACCTTAAAGCCAGTCCCTCAGCAAGGCTTATTTTGTGCAGGGATGCAGCCCTAACGTCACTGTTCACGCTGGGCAGCCATTTCCTTGCATCTGCCCTTGCAGTGGACTCACGTGCAGGCCTGTCGTGAGACTGTTAGAACCAGGACTTTGCAGACTTGCTCAATGTGGCGTTGCCTCCAGAGATAACATGCAGATTCCTGGACCTAGTCCCAAACCATTTGAATCAGAATCTCTAGGGTGCGGGCCCAGGAACCTGCCCATAAAAGCCTCTCTCCCTGGCGATTCTTATGTACAGTCAAGTGGCAGAACCTCTGCGTTAGGGCCTGTGTGTGATAGGCCTCCTTCTCTAGGTTTTTGGGTTTTTTTTTCCACAGAGAGGGGACTGAAACTGGCAGTTTCTGTAAATAGCACAACTGGGTGTTTTGGTTACAAATCAGTAAGTCCAGGATGTAGAAAACATATCTCTTGGAATCCACCATAGTCTTGCAATGTGCTGGGGAAGCCTTTTGAAGCTGGGCAGTAGTACACAACCAGAAAAAAGAAAGGACTTGGCTCCCAGGAGTGACAGCCTGTTGGAAGAGGCCTTCAGTGAGGTTCCCCATTGGCCTGAGCTGAGATCTAGTGCAGCTTCCTACTCGCAGGATGCCAGAGGCAAGAACAAAGAAATCCATCTGTTGAGACTCTACCTATGAAGCTGAAAAGCTGTTAATAGAAAGTGGTTAGATGAGCCAAAGCAAGGGGATACTTGATGAAAGGCTGGTGTGGATACAGATACAAAGATTCTTATTGAATGGAGCAGAGACCTCAGGGAGGACCCATCTGTCCCATTATAAAAGATACATAAAGAAATTGTACTAGATCATAGTGTGGCTTCCACCAATTGGCTGTCCCTTTCATAAAAGGCTTATATTCTCCCCATCAGGCTTGGCTGTGTGACTTGCTTCAGCCAATCAATCACACATGAGCGGAACGGATGTAAACCACTTCCTTGCAGAAATGTTAGGATCAGTCATCTGGTTCCGCCATCTTTCCAATCTGTCCCAAGACCAGCATGTCCCAGATTGGGGCCGTTCCTTACGCCGGATGCCCGAATGAAGATGTAGAGAAGAGTCGCGGTCAACCTACGAAGAACACGTAACAGCAAGAAATAAATCTTTGTTATGATAAGACCCCGAGATTTTGGGGTCAGTAGTTACCATAGCATAAGCTAGCCAGAGCTGACTAATAAATAATCTTTTAGAATCGTAAAAACAAAATAGCAGTACTGAAGTGAATTTTTAATTCCCTAGTCTAACCAAATAGTTTTAATTTTTTCATATGCCTACATGCAAATGTGCTAAAAAAGGCCAGTACATGTTATGTCGCTTCTGAACTTCAGGCAAGGCGCCGGGTGGAGGAGGAGGCCCAACTGTCCACTGGAGGAGGCCAGAGGAAAGGCCTGTGGACCCAATGGCCAGCACAGAGCTGTCTGCTGTCAGGCAGTGAAACAGCACGGCCATTTCCTTGGGCATCATTCGGCTCTTGGAAAAGGCAATGCCAGGCCATTTCTTCTCCCACAGCCTGCTTATGGCCCTGCCAAGGCAGGGCTACATATCAGCTCTGTTCTGTGCTCTTCCATTTCCCGAAGTCTCAGCCCCACCATAGATTGTGAACCTGCACTTGGCAAGGTAGAATTTACGGGAGCCCAGCCGCGAGCAGTGCAGGCATGAGCTCTGCCCTCCTGGAGCCTGCAATCCAGTGGGGTCAGATTGGATTTTCTTGGGAGTGAGGTCTCAGTGTTTAAGAAGTGAAGTGACTAAGGTTACTGTGTGGAGTGTGGATTTTAAAGGGCAACAGTCTAGAAGCAGGAAGACGCGATAGGAACGTATGTTCATTGTCATGTTTTATGATCCCACTCAAATGTCACCTGCTTTTAGAAGCCTTCCTGGCAGAGCCAGGGTCTCTTTCTTACAGTCAGCATGTTCCATTAGGCAGGTCCACCGTTTATCCTTCTTTCTCTCCCAGAGGCTGTGAGTTCCTGGAGGGTCTCCTGGGCGGCCTCCGGCCCTGTGCTGCCCGGACCACTCTTCCAGAGAGGAAATGGGGTGTAGGGAGAGAGCCTCTGAAGCCTCAGTGGGTACAGGCTGTCCTTCCAGCTAGCAGGGGGCTCTCTGGGGAGTTGACGTTTGACTTTCTATTCCCGGTAATATAAGTTCAAATGTTTGAAGAGGGGATGAAAGCATTGCTATTCATGCTGCTAGAATCTGTGAGGTTTTTTCTTTTTTTTTCTAACCGAGAGCCCACAGCAAACCTTGAGGTTACTGGCTGGGGAAAGGAATGTAGTGAGAGGCGCAGGACGAAACCTTGCGGCGGGCAGAGCCGGACGGATTGGGAGGGCAGAGCCTGGCCCACCTCGCTGGGACCCTGGGGACGGGCCAGAGGCGCCCGGGGGGTCTGGCCGGGTAGGGGGAGGAGCAGGAGTGGAGGGTCGGGCGGGCTGCGGCCCCCGCCAGGCCCCGCCGGGCCAGGGGGCGTCGGTGGAACCCACCCAGCCGAGGCCCGGCCGGGGCGCAGGGCGGGGGCGGGCGGG